TTTCCGCTGTAGATCTGACTTGCTTACACAATGCTTTTTGGATGCACTCATCAATGTCATTTGATCATCTACAACATCTTTCACTGTAGAATGCATACCTTGCATATACCTCATGATCCTCCCTGCTTTTTTCAAAAACAGCTGGGATCTTAGATGTCTCGACATATTCAATTCTGCAAAGAATGAATATTTTTAACATGTTTCAGCATTATGTTATCATGTCCCAGTATGGACCGCTTATTTTTTCCCACTATGGACCATTGTGCATCAAAATACGAATGACCAAAATTTTATCAAAGTGGCAAAGTGACAATATTGAGGTTATGGATGTTTTAGATATCCGTACCAAATTCTTGTTAAAAAGGATACATTTCGGCGGAATATTTGAAAAAATCTGGATATGGAATTAAAAATTTTCATTTGACAGTTGATCACTTATCTGAATTTTCAAAACATTGAACGCACTGTACCAATTGAAAAAACAACAAGAGATTCAGAGGCGGCACTGTTATGATAGCACAAGCACTCACACTGAAACATAGCTATACTGCGACGAAAAAATAGCTAGGAGAGTGAAATTCCCACTATGGACCGCGTCCCACTATGGACCAGTTTACCCTAAGCAAAGCTTGGGACTTTTGATAGGTAATTGTTTTTAGTTTTAGGCGTCCACAGAAGGAAATAGTGGACAAATTGTCTTCTTCTAAGACTTTCAGAGTGATGTTCCATAAAATTCTATTTCATTAGGCTTTTCAGCAGTTGGTTAAATGTATTTTTAGAAGATTTTCTTTTGGAATTTTAGTTTTTAAGTTGAAATTGAACTCAGAAACCACTTCTGTTGTTTCGTTAATGAAAGACAAGCACCTAAATTCTATTTGGTTCTTTGGCATTTGACAAACATTTTCAAGTTTCTGTTCAATATTCTCAAGTTTTTAAAAAAGTCGATAGGCAGTTTAAAGTTAGGTTAGAAATTCTCAGTACCTATGTTATTAAAGGGTTTGAAAAATTGGCATTGTATAAATTCAAACGTGAAGTATAAAAATATGAATATATATCAGAATTTTGTGATTGTTGAAGGTGCAAACCGTGTTCTTTTAAGTGGTAAAGCTTGTGTTGATTTAGGATGGTAAGAAGGGTTTCACTAAGGTTGACATAAATGTTCTTCCTCCCTCCATCAACGATAAAGAAAAATTTATTTCAGAAAATATTGATATTTTTAGCGGACATGGTAGATTTTCAGGAAATGTTGAAATCACTATTTTTGATGAATTTGTAACAGTGAGCCACCCACCCGCACAAAAGTACCTATAGCTATAAAAGATTCTTTAATATGTGAACTGGTGAAGATGGTCATAGTTTAAAAACCAAATTGTAAAGTTAAGATTATGTTTAGATTCTTCAGACCTCAATAAACAAATTTGACGTAAGCCTAGACTCTAAAGGAACTATGTTCAAATATTATTGGTCAGTATATTATTTTCTCTGTTTTTGATTTAGCTGAAGGCTATCACCATTTTGAACTGGACGAAGATTCCTCATGGAAATGTTGTTTTGCTAAACATTACGGAATTTATAGGTATTATTTAGTACTACCATATGGGCTCTCCAATTCTCTAGATCTCTAATGAAGTAGAGAAGAATTTTGGGAATTTACAAAATGTTCAAGTTTGCCATGATCATAATGGGTGGGCGTAAAAATAGCTGAACCAAATATCAACATATATGGTATATTTGGAATCAGAAGAAAAAATCTGTCATTCTAGCCAAAAATGTATAGGGTGTTCCATTTGAAAAATGCAAGTGTTTGTCATAGTGACAGTTGGCACCTGTCATTTGCCCGTTTCGACATTCGCAAAAGATAATAGACATAAAATCCTACAACTTTCATATTTAAAGTTTTTTTCCACCTCGTATAGCTAATGTTGTAGGTAGGAGTCAAAATATAGAGAAACACCTTGTACAGGGTGTTTTTTTATATATTGACATCCATGGTCAGAAACAAAATTTGAATGTCAGAAATGTGAAATTTTGCATACTTCAAATGGGATGCCCTATATTTCATTCTATATTCTTGAAGAGCATAATGCCCCGATTCCAAAAATATATAGTTTGTCTATATTTGATTGAACAGTCTCTCATATATTCGGCTCCAAAAATTGTATAAATACTATCCTACTAACAACTTTTGTGAACCATTCTACCTATACAGGTGAAAGCTGCAGGTAAAATTTGTACTTGGTTTCTCCGATAGTATTTTTAAAATTTTTAGAACCAAATATGTTGGAGACGGCTCAACCAACTATAGACAAACTAAATAGTATTGGAATCGGCAAATTGTGCTCTTCAAGAATATAGAATCAAATATAGGGCATCCTATTTGAAAAAGCTGAAAGCATGCAACATTTCTGACATTCAATTTTTGTTTCTGACCATGGATTCTAAAAATTTAGCCAATACTGTACAACGTTTGTATTTAGACCTTTCATCTACTTGTAAAGGTGGAGGCTGTAGGTGGGATGTCAATATATAAGAAAACACCCTGTACTTGAACAATAAATTATTTTATGTCATACCAGTACATTATTGTGTTTTTATACCTTAGATACCATCTACATAATTCATTACTTTATGCCCATGCGGGCATAAAGTACACATTATGGCCCGCGCGGGCATAAAGTACATATTATGGCCCTCGCAGGTATGACATAAAATTTTGTATGCACCACGGGTACTAATAGATATATACCCTCGGGCGACTTACGAACCCTCGGGCCAGAGGCCCTCGGCTTTGTAAGACTGTCGCCCTCGGGGCATAATCATCTACTTAGTACCCTTGATACATAAATAACTAATATAAAGTCAGAATTTGTAAGATTATAATTATTCACTTTTTGTCAATTTGCCTTTCAACAGGAATTAGTAATGTTACTTTACCAAACTAGTAACATAATGTGACAAGTTATTCAAGTACAAATGAGTGAATTGTTGCGGAACTTATGGGTGTACCATCTATTCATCAATATGTTGTTTACGATACTAACCTGACTCACTCAAATGTGAGTTATTCTCAGTTTAAAAACTACACGTTTCAGGTGGATGTCTCATTTGAATAGTTTAACAGTATATTAGTGAGTAGATGGCTGCGGAACTCGCTGCGCTCGTCCCGCAGAGGTCCACCCATAAGTTCTGCAATAATCCACGTATTTGTACTTGAGCAATACTTAACTTATTATATAAAGTCAGAATTTGTAAGATTATCCACTTTTTGTCAATTTGCCTTTCAACAGGAATTAGTAATGTTACTTTACCAAACTAGTAACATAATGTGACAAGTTATTCAAATAATACAAATGAGTGAATTGTTGCGGAACTTATGAGTGGACCTCTGCGGGACGAGCGCAGCGAGTTCCGCATCCATCTATTCATCAATATGGTGTTTAATTACGATACTAACCTGACTCACTCGAATGTGAGTTATTCTCAGTTTAAAAACTACACGTTTCAGGTGAGTGTCTTATTTGAACAGTTCAACAATATATTGGTAAGTAGATGGCTGCGGAACTCGCGTCCACCTATAAGTTCCGCAATAATCCATTCATTTGTATAGGGTGTTTTTTTATATATTGACTCCCACCTACAGCCTTTACCTTTACAGTTAGAAGAAAGGCTGAATTTTTAGAAACCATGGTCAGAAACAAATTTTGAATGTCAGAAATGTGAAATTTTGCATGCTTCCAGCTTTTTCCAAAGAAGAAACCCTATATTTCATTCTATATTCTCAAAGAGCACAAATAGAACCAAATATGTTGGAGACGGCCCAACCAAATATAGACAAACTATATAGTTTTGGAATTGGGAATTTGTGCTCTTCAAGAATATAAAACCAAATATAGCGCATCCCATTTGGAAAAAGCAGAAAGCACATTTCTGACATTTTGTTTAATAAAAATATAGCAAAATTAAAACAGTTCCGAAACTAGGAATTATTGTGAATTTGGCTCAAACCTATCAAATTGAATCAAGTGGGAATTACACTTGAAAACTTTGTCTTATGCCATTACAATTCTGGATTAAATAAAATCGTTGGTACCTATACTGATAATGTAGTCCAAATTTTCATCAAAGCTGGCTCTCTGTATCCACAAGTTTGTGTCCAAAATTAGGATGACCAGAAAATATGTATTCTAAAATAGACTCCAGACGCTATCGTTTTACAGTATTAAGCCTGAAATTTAAATTTTCACTGCATGATAGGTGTAGGTACTGTTGGAATTTTGAAGAATAGATTATGTCACCTAAATTATCAAAATAGAATTTTATGAACACATAGATTGCTGAATAAGATAGCGAAAATATGTAGTTCATAACTTTTGGAAAGATCTTGATGAAAATAACATAACTGGAACAAAATAGTAGAATTAATATAAAAAAATCTGGAAATCACAGTAATATCGATGTTTAATATCTACAAAATCTGTCAGAGCATTAAATTGAGTCAGAAATCTCTCAAAATGATCATCATCCTAAATATACAATTCCTTAACAAGCCGTTTTATAACACACTTTTTACCCCACCAACCTAACAAAACACAACAAAGAAACCCTTTTTTATGCCCAATTATCACCAGACCTTATCATAAAACCTTCGGGCACTTCGGCCCCCTTTTCGCCTCCCCCCCACACCCATTTACCTTTTAAACAAAAAAGGGCTACAGTTTTACCATAATGACCAATCTTCACGACTTTTTCCCCGTCTCGTTTCGGCCCGGTACCCAGACCTTACGTCGGTCTCGCTCTCGCGGCCAAATTCTAGATGGCGCAGAAGTAAAAACGGTCGAAGAACGTGTTGCCAGCCTCCGCTGGTTCTTCAATTTTAGTCGACTTTCTACTGTTTTACCGTAGAGCGTACGCGTGTGTTACGTTGGCCCGTGAAAATTCGACTTTATATTGGACTCTGGAGGTAGGGGGTTGGTTTTTTGAAAGGGCGGGAAAGTGGTGCATTTTGAATGACTTGATAAGTGACGGTTTTTTAGGTGAGACGATCAGAAAAAAGAGGTAAGAATAAGAAATATTTTACTTTAGATGTATCATGCAAATGACTCATTGTCGAGAAAAATTGACTATAATTTTTGAAGAAAGATCAGTAACTTCTGGTTGCTTCATTGAAAAATTCAATTTCTTAGATTCTTGGTCAGTTTTACTTTTTTCTTCCCCATATTTGCTTCATTGCTTATATTTCAGTATTCACGTTTTCTAAAATTCAACCCATCATTTACCGAACCTCATTCTAAAGAAACTCCAATATCCAAAGTTGCACTATAGGTATATGAAGCGCATATTATGTTGCTCCAAGAAATTTTAGATTTTGCCTTGAGCGCATTAAATGTAAAACTCTACTTCCATGTTCTTTGTAGATCATCATGCAAACTTCAACGGAAACCAAAATGCTTCAAGACAAGCAGCAACAACTCAACGCGACTAAGCCAACTTCAAATGAGACTTCATTGAAAGGCAGCGCTGCAACCGCCACAATTATCCAAGACAACTTGCTGCAACGATCCATCCAAAATGTAGCGCTGACGCTGCAAAACGCTATGATAAGTTCGTTGCAGCAAGCTGCGCTGTTGCCTGTTAACAGCGCAGCTGCAGCAGCGTTAAATTTGCAAGCCTTGGAAAGCTATTTGACTTTGCAAAGGCTTACAACAGTGTCTGCCAATGCAGTAAGTTACCAAAATCCAATTTATATTAATTTGCAGGCTCATTTGTTTTGTTTGTTACTAGAATGATTGGCCTTCTACAACTTCAGCTGTTGCAACAAAAGTTGTTGAAGCACCTCCTGCAAAAAGCGACATTTTAAAAATAGCCGCAAGTACTGCAAAAATCACTGAAGAAGCTAGCGAAGATACTAACAACACTAGCCTAACTGAAGATGTTGAACTATCAGAAGAAGTTGAGGAAGATCTAGCTTTGCTAGATCACGAAGAAGCTTTGAACAATTTTTCATTGTCTTCTAGCCCAGTTGATACAAGCTACCCTTCAATGATAATGAATAATATTTACAGCAATAATTCGCCTACTTCAACTAGTAGTAGCACTACAGTAGCCACAATAGCTAGCGGCGTAGCTTTGGGCAGGCAAAAAGGCACCATACGTCCAAAAAAGCAGTTTATATGCAAATTTTGCAATAGACAATTCACCAAAAGCTACAATTTGTTGATCCACGAAAGGACCCACACTGACGAGAGACCTTACAGTTGTGATATTTGCGGCAAGGCTTTTAGACGACAAGATCACTTACGAGATCATAGGTGAGTGATGATTTTATGCTTTAAACATACACAGGTAGGTATCGGCCCACGGCTTTATACCCAAAAAAAAAAAACAATACTTACCTGAAACGAGGCGCGTTCTCGCCATTCTCAAACCCAACCCATAGTGAGAGAGACTTATATATTTTTATTTGTTTTTGCACCTGACCTCAGCACACACACCTGTGCGCACATTTCCTGACCTTTTTCGACTCCGAACAGTGTCGCCTCGGGCGCAGTAATGGACAAATCATGTTAATCGTGCCACATACAACTTCGGGGTTCGCGCCAAAATATTGTGTTTGACCTTTTTTCGAGACCTTTCTGTCACTGCTCGGGGATACGAGTTTTTAAATTATTTTTTTGGATTTATGTTCGAAAGACTTGTTGGGTTGCTGAGTTTACTTAAGTTGGCTATGGAGAAGAGGATGCGACTGAGGTTTTTTTTAGATTCCTGCAATAACTAGGTATACTCTGTTCTATGGTTTATTTTTTAAATTTTATCCCCTCACAGAGTGACCCAAACCTTTCAATTATAGCCTCATTCGTACACACATAGAGAATTTTTACAAACTTTTTGGAGAGCACCCACCCAAAACCCCTCTTCAACTGTTGACTCCAAAACAATGAGTTTCAGGGTTTCATGAGGCTCATTTTTATAAATTATAATATATTTAGGCACGCCAATGCAAAGTACGTAGGTCCTGCGTCCTGCTGCTATATCACAGACTCTTTACATTTCAATTTTTTTTTCTGAAATGCCTTTGAAATATTGAAATTTGGTTAAAATTCACAGGGGCCTATTTTGGCTATTTTCAATATTAATCGTAGGTACCTCTTTCTTTCCAATTATAGCGACATTTATTTGATAATTTATTCCATAGTTTCTTTGACTCCTCAGCAACTGAAAATCCCTGAAATATGGTATTCGAACTCCAGAAGTATTTTTGTATCAGGAAAGCAACTTTGGTTCTCCCTCTGAATATATTGAGGACTAGTTAAGGCTAAGAAAAACGAACCCAACGATTTTAAAACTTCCAAGTGGAATATTTCGAGAATGGTAAATCGTAGAGGTAAGACTCGATGAGCTTTTTTGTAGAAAGTTCCAATTTTCGTCATTTTCAAAATTTCCTGTGTTGTAGGTATAGGGCCAAAAACCAAAGTCAAAATTTAGGAATTTCAAGATAGCCATTTTGTAGAGGGGATCCCAAAAAATCCCAAAACCAACTTTTATTTCTTTAATTTTCCAATTGACTTTTCCGTCTTTCAAATAGGGGACTTTTGGGATCCCCTCTACAAAATGGCTATCTTGAAATTTTGACTTTGGGTTTTTGGCCCTAGGTATAGCCGAGGGTATATATAGCATAGGACACAGGAAATTCTGAAAATGACGAAAATTGGAACTTCAACCGGCCATAGCTACGTAATGGTAAGTCGTAGAGAAAAACTCTTCAAGTCTTACCTCTACGACTTACCATTTCCGAGATATTCCACTTTGAAGTTTTAAAATCCTCGGGCCAAAAAATCTAAGTCAAAATTTTCCAAATTTTGTTTGACATCATAGAGGAGGTCCAGAGAAATGTCGGAACCTACTTTTCTCCCCTAATTTCCTGTTTTTCCAGGAGTTTCCAGCCTTCTTCTATATTCCTAAAATAGAAAATCGCACTTTTCCGAATTTTGGAAAAAGATAAATTCCAATGTATAGAGAAGGTCAAAACAAGCTGAAAAGTTATTTGGCATTTTCCCCTAGGACGTCTCCTAAGCTCGGAAAAAAATAAAATGACGTACCGACGAATCATTTTTTTCTTTTGAGACTTGAGGTGGAGAACTAATCAGTTTTTTCAAATTTTCTGAACCAAAAGAAGTTCTCAGGACTGTATTGAATTAGGTTTGATCTGCTTGTGGAACCATGAACCTCATGAGTTAGGTATTATTGGTAGGTTTCAGAGTCTTAGAGTGATCTTATATACTCTGTAAACTGTCAGTCAACTCTTTGCTCTTGCTTTGAATTTTTACTATGTCTTGTTCCAATGCCTCAAAAACAGTGCCACAAATTCTCGTATTTGTATACCTTGAATTTGTGCAAGGTTGTCATAGTTCACATTTCAAAAATTATGTATTTCTCTAGTAAACTTATAACTATGTTTCTTTGGTTCAATTGCTTCGAATTTTTAGTATGTCTTACTCCAATGCTTTCTTAATAATACCACATAATCCTATATTTGTGTCTTGAATAGTTTTTGAGAAATTACTCAATTTAGCAAGGTTGTCAGTTCACTATTCAAAAATTATATATTTTTTTTTAGAAAACTTTTAACTTTGTCTTTCTCTGTTCAATTTCTTTGAATTTATGATATATCCTTCTCCAATTCCTCAGATACCAAAAAATCTCATATTCGAACCTTGAATAGTTTTTGAGGAATTTGTCCATTTATGCAAGGTTGTCATATTTCACTTTACAAAAATTATGTATTTTCCTAGAAAATTTGTAACTGTGTCATTCTATGTTCTTTGAATATTTAGTATGTACTGCTCGGATGCCTCAAAAGACAAAAATAGTACAACAAAACCTTATATTTGTACCTTGAATAGTTTTTAATGAGGGGTAAACCGCAAGGAGAATCTAGTGTAAAAATTCGGAGAAATCTCTAAGGCAATAGTCTGGGAAAATCATAAGGAAATCAGGGGAAATTAAGGGGAATCTTAGGGAAATCAGTCAATCTCTACATCCAACACATGCGCAGTTTTCAAGAACCTTTATAATTTGAGGTTATATTATCAGGGGAACTCTGAGGGTTATCTTACTAGTAATCAAAAGAAATCAGGGAAAATATTCCATGATTTTCCCTAAAATCGCAATCTGGCGTGCCAAAACTGACCTGCGGTTTACCCCTTGGGGTAGACTAGAAGGGAAATCTGTTGTATAAATTAGGGGAAATCAAGAGAAAATCCGAGAAAATCTAATGCAATCATAAAGAAATCTGAGGAAATCAAGAGAAATCTTAAGGAACTCAGGGGAAATCTTCAAAAAATCACAGGAAATTTTAAGGAAATCAGTCAATCTCTAGATATAACGCATGCGCAGTTTTCTAAAATATTTATAATACTGGTACTCAGAAGAAATCAGAGAAAATCGTGGGAAATCACCCATGATTTCTTCTAAACTATAGGCGTGCAAAAACTGACCTTCGATTTATCTCTCGGGGTAAACTGGAAGGAAAATCTGTTTTACAAATTAGGGGAAATTAAGAGAAGATCAGAGGAAATCATGAGGAAATTGAAGGAAATCTCAAAGAACTCAGGGGAAATCTTTTAAGGAAATTGCGGGAAATCCTAAGGGGATCAGTCAATTTCTAGATCTAACGCATGCGCAGTTTTGAAAAATCTTTATAATTTGAGGTTTTGTTATCAGGGGAACTCTTCGGCAATGATGGTTCATGATTTCTCCTAGAACCGCGATATGGTGTACAAAAACAGACCTACGATTTACCACTCGAGGTAAACTGGAAGGGAAATTTATTGTACAAATTAGAGGAAATCAAGTGGAAATCCGAGGAAATCTAAGGCAATCAGGGGAAACCTTAAAAAAAACCTTGAGAAAATCCTGGGAAATCTTGAGGAAATCAGTCAATCTCTAGATCTAACCGATATGCGAGAGATTATGGTACCTATCAGGAAAACACTTACTAATCTTACTGGTAATCAGCAGAAATCAGGAGAAATCATCCATAATTTCCCCTAAAACCGCAATCTGGTGTACAAAAACTGACCTGCAGTTTACCCCTCGGTTTTCGAGGATTTAGAGCCGGTTTATCAATAGAGCGATACCCCATAAGTTGGGGATAACCCTGGGTCAAAGTTCTGACAAGTGTTTATTTATTCAGGGCCAACTGCTAACTCGAATAAAGTTATTCCAGGAAAAAGTTAATCCGTACTCTCACGGCAAGTTAGCGTATTTGACCCTGGGTTAACCTCAAAATTTTCTGTTATCTCTATTAGCATTTTTTTCGAAAAATGGTGATTTTGGCTTAAATTTTAATATTGTAAAGTGGAGCTAGATTTCAGAAGGCCGAGGCGAACCTGCTAATCCTCGTGAGCTATGTGGATCATTACTAAAATCCTCACCAAGTGACATACACTGTGGGTACTCTGAGTTGCCTTCTTTTGAATTAACATACGTATTTCCAAAAATATTTCTTGTCAGTCAATTGACTTTCAAGCGTTTTGAGGTACCTATTTCCTGTGTGAAGATAATAATTCATTTCTACACTGCTCTCTTAATTGTGAGAAGACAATGTGTCTTCCACAGCTTTTTGTCCTTTTGAAAATTTTGTGTGATTTTTTTCTTTTCAACTATTGAAGATTTTAAGTCATGATCCATCCATTTTGAAAATTTAGGTGTTTTATACGGAGATGTAGGTAAACATCTCAATTGCATGATAAAGAATATCATAAAATTAAGCAACAACCAAACAATCCACATCAGCACACCTAGAAAAAATAAACGACCAGTCAACACAAGATAAAAACAGATTAGTTTCTCTATAATTAGCATATTTAAAGTTATGAAAATAATCACATATAGTAAGTTCATTGGTGTGGAATAATTGCTCAGTTTAAAAAAACACTCAAAAGCTGGGAGTGGTGTGTCCAGCCCAAACCTAAGCAAACATCAAATCAAAAAAGTTACCAGACACATTTGGACTTTGGATGTACTGGAACAATCTCAAGTAGGCTGCACAGTCAGATATTACCTATCACAGCCTTGTTTGTAATGGTTCTTCTTGGGAATACCCCTCCCGAAACCCCTTTTTATCGCCAAACAATGGTGGTGTCCAGATTTAATGAGGCGCATTTTTATAAATTATACTACATATACATATAGGCACGTCAATTAACTAACAATAATCAAGGCATGCTGACACATTTTTGTGTACCTTGGGATTAAAAAACAGAGTATAGAACTGTTTGGAGCATGCGCAGTCAAAAATTCGCTGTTA